CTGACCTCTTAACATACCTGTGTGGTGCTGTTGTGGCCACTTTCTGGTCCACCTGAGAGGCAGCATCTGTGCCACTACTGGGAAGTTCAGGAAGGCCAGCACAGCACAGCAGATCTGAGGGGCTTGATCCTTTCCATGTCCCCAGCTGTGAGAAACGGGATGTCTGAGACCGGGAGTAGGGGCCTATGAGCATCTCTCTGTCCTACTATGCCTCTCCACGCCCCGCCAGAGCTTGGGTGTCAAGTTTGACTGAGCAAAAAGTGCTGTTGCTTCTGCTGGGTTAGTGACGGGCAAATGCAGGCAGCTGGGAGTTGGACCTTCAGCCCAGGTCACTGACAGGCTGCGTGCTTTTCCCCAAGTGTGGGCAGTCTATGGCTGGGTTGGGGAAAGCCCTGGCTGGGTCCCCACAGGTGCTCTGATGCTTTTGGGGACAGAGGGTGAGCGGTCTCTCCAGGCAGGCTCTTCCCTGCTGTCGATGTGTTTCGTACAGGTCGAGAAGGCCCTCTGGCCTCTGTCCTCCTCCGAGTCCACTCCCCTCCCCCTGCATTTACCCCAGCTGATCACTGTCCGCTCACCTTGGAATGAACTTTGCTGCCCTGCTCTCGTCAGGGCTTTGCCTTTTGAGTCACTAAAAGCTCTGCTCTTAAAAACCAGAGCTTTGGCTATTTCTGTGATCTCTGAAATGGAAGTCAGTGGTGAAATCTTGACATGGCTCTGTCTTTGCTTTCCAAGAAAGCGCCGTCTTAACTCTCCCCAGCAAGAGAAGCTCTGACTTAAGAGTGCAACAGAAGAAAACCCAGCCATGAGTGAATAGCTTTAAAACATCTCGGTGCACGCCAGCACCCCTGCACCTCTCCCACTTGAAATAGTCCATGGCTTTCTATTGTGCTCAAGATCGAAATACTCAATATGGCCCCAAAGAGCCTGAATGCTCTGGTTTTTGCCTTTCTGTCCACATAGATGTTTGCACTGCAGCCACTGTGGCCTGCTTTCTTTACCTCAAGTAAGCCATGCTCTCTCCCCCGGAATCTCCTCTCCTCTTTCTCCACCCCGAACTCCCTCTTCTCCTTCCTCCCGAAGACACCTCTCAACCCACCCAGCTTCTGTGGTTCCTCTGAGATGAACCCCCATATCCTGCCTCCCTTTGTCTCAGGTGTTTCTTTTGCTTCTTGGGTTGCTTGGTTACTATGGCTCTCTCTCCCCGATTCTGTAAGCTGCTGGAAAACTGTATTTCTCTTTCTCACCGCTGGGCTTTTGCAAATGAATGAATGGACTAGATGGGCGAATGGACTGTAGTTCCTCACTGAAAACAATCTTGCAATATCTAAGTTTGCAATACTCTGGTGGCTTGATGCCAGACTAAGTCTTTGAGGCTTTGCCACAAATAGGGAAAAGATGTTGATCTGCAAAGCAGAGGTTAACTGGCTGGTGATATGAGAATCCACTGGGTCCGAACCCAATTTTATTATTCATCAACGTGATCAGTGGGTAGACACAGACTTATGAATGGATGGAATATATAGCTGCCTCTGGATAATTTGAGGCAGGAGAATTAAGTCTTCCTAAGTCACCTGCTCCTCCCCTCTGGAAATATAACCACTGTGGGAAATATTACCAATGTGGGCTGCTGTTCAAGAATCTTCCACTAAATTCGAATAATTCTAGGAGGGCTCAGTCCTCATCAGCTACACTTTAGGCAGCTGAATGGCAGCTGAGTCCTGGAGATCAGGGGAGTGGGATGGGAAAGCAGGAGTCAGGTGGGAGGAAAGAGAAATGGAGAGGTGGTGGGGAGGTCTCAGGATGAGACCCTGGCTGGGGAGTCGGGCATCAAAGGCTGTCACCCTCGCAGATTTGCCACAGTCTGGTCCTTTTACTTTCACACTTCATGATTTGACAAAAATATCATTTCACCATTTTGACTTTTTTTTTCCACTTCAAGGAAGAAAGATAGCAAAACAAACAGGATAAATTTCTTTAGAGGTAAATGGAAGCATCTGGACCTGTAGACGGGGTGTGTGGCATGTGAATATCTCCTCTGGAAAAGCTTCATTGATTCATCCATTTATTCCTTCTAGAAATGCTGTTGAGTGTCTACCACGTACCAGGCACTGTGCAGCCTCTGGAAATACAGAGTGAACAAGATAGACAGTTGTATGCTGTAGAACTTCCCATGAAGGCTTTGAAACAAAAAAGCGTGCGTTCCCCTGTGTCTGCCCAGACTCCGATGGCTCGGAACTGCCCGCGTATGATGGGGCGTGGGACTTGGGAAACATTGAGGAATATATTGTATTACTGGGAGGCATAGCAAGCATATGCGTGAAAAGAAAACACTCTTCATTCCCATCGTGTTTCAGTTTTAGTGAGAGGGCATGGGGAGATGAGGGGTGTGAGTTAGATGCTGGATTCCAAGGAATGTCCTCACTCAAGTTTGAATATCCTGGCAGCCTGATGCCAGCCTGAGGCTTTGAAGCTTTGCTGCAAATAGGGAAAAGCTGTTGGTTTACAAAAGAGAGTCTAACTGGCTGGTGATATTAAAATCCACTAAATCTGTCATCTTATGTTATTTATTTCTTTTTGTTCCTTATATCCAATTTCTACACTTCTTCAGTTATGTAAGAGCATCCTACCTCATGTCTTAGCATCCTACCGTTAATAAAATTCCTTTTCTTTCCTCACATTTATTACACATTCTCCCCCTCCCCCGGCCATTATAGTGGGCATGTACAAAATAAAGCTATCCTGTGATTTCAATAAAAGCCACATAATCTCTTTCTAAAGCACTGCTGTGTTTTGAAAAGTCAATATTCTTCCATTGGGAATTTCCCACAATGCGGTTAGTTTAACAAAATAAAATTTGAGAAAACAAAACATTGTGAGAACGATTGTGTTCTTACAAGTTCCCCTTAATTTTCTACTCTTTAGCCTTTCTTAGAATTTGTCATGTCCTACCTCCTTGTTGGCTAAGTGAGAAAGCCCAGAAAAGCCAGCCTCGAGCCTTTTGAGAGGAAGGGGTGAGTTCTTTAGGGTGTCTTGCTTGTAAGTGACAGAAACTTAATTTGAGCTAGCCAGAGTCATAAACAAGGCAGGGCGGGGCTGGGGCTCATTAGCAGAAGGAGAGGAGATGAATCCTGGGCAGCAGGATGAAGAGGTGTCCACGTAGAGGCCAAAAGCAAGCGGTTCCCTCCCCTTCCCACCCACATCCAGACCATCAGGAGAAAGGTGGGGGGCGGAGGCGGAGGGGAGGCTTCTGCCACTGGGGAAAGGTGTTCAGGCTGAGGGGTTGAAAGTGGTTAATTGGGAAAAGAGATTGTATTTTTTTCCTGGTCGTGTGGAGCTCTCTTCTGCACCCCTTTGCTGGCAAAAAGGAAAACCTCTCCAAATAGCTGTCTGCAAAAGTTTCGTGCGCTCTCACCAGCGCGCTCCTGTATAGCATTCACCCACCCCGTACATCTACCTCTCCACTGAAGCTGTGCGGGACTAGATCACCAAGAGCCTCCATATCGCCAACTCCAAGGGGCGTTTTGGTCCTTAAGTTGCTCTATTGGGCATACTCATCCACTCCTCTTGAACCTGATTCTTTCTTGGGTGTCTGGGCCTCTCTCTTGGCCTCTAAGGTCCTGCACTCTCCTGGTTTGCACCTACCACCTGACGGCTCTCATTCTCCTCTGTGGGCTTCTTCCCCCCGGCTCCTTAGCTGTTGGGCATCATCAAGGCTTGGTCCTGGGTTCTCTTCTGGTCTCTGCTCCCTTTAAGTAGTTTCAGTTATCAACATTTCCATCTAGATGTCTCATAGGCATCTCCAATTCAGACTTGAAAACAGGATCTTTGAAGCCCTTCACTCAGTCCAAATCCCATCCTCCTCGTACCTTCTTGTCCCTGTAAGAGGCACTGCCATCCGCTTGGGTACTAACGCTCCTAATTACTGCGCACCATCCCTGACTCATCACACGTCTGCTCTCCTCTAGCTAACCTCTGTCTAACCCAGTGGCAAGTTCTGTTGGCTGCATTTTAAAGCATTATCTATCTGGTACAAGCCCATCTCTCTTTACCTCCACCGCAACCATCTGGGTCAAAGTCACGGTCCTGTCTCATGCAGCCAATGGCAGCAGTCTCCTCTCTGGTCTCCCTGTTTCCTCTTTTGCCGCCTCCCACCATTTTCCACAAAGTGTTCTTTGAAAGGCAGATTATGTCACTTCCCTACTGAAACTCTTTCACTGATGTTCCACTGCCCTGAAGATAAAGGCCAGCAAGGTTCTGCCTGTTCCGGCTCCTCTTACCCTGACAGCCTCATCCCATGACGCTCTCCTGCTCTTTTGCTCTGCCCTGGGGTTCCTGGTCTACACAAAGCTCTTCCTTGCCCTGGGGCCTTTGCACTCACTCTTTCCCCTGCTTGGAAACACTTTTCTCTAATTGTTTAGTTGTTATATTTTTTTAATCATTTGTGATTCAGCCTAAATATCGCCTCCTCAGAAACACAATTGCTTTCTAGCACTCAGCTATTTCTCTCCGAGTACAAATGATCATTTGCAATCATTTATTTGTTTAATTGTTTATTGTGTCTCACATTAGAGAGACTCCAAGGACAGGAATCGAAACATCTGTCATGTTCTCTAGTTCTCATTAATGACTAGCCCAAGACCTGGTAGATAGTATGTGCTCAAGGAATGGTGTTTGAATGATGAGTAAAAATAGCATCACGATAACTCATAGTATGCCAGTCAGGGCTCTAATTTTGAGTGCTGAACTATAAATGTTCTGTGGGTGAAATTTTTTTTGAAATATTTAAATGACCTAGAATTGAGATCGTGTTATGTCTTCAGATGAACTTGGAGAATTCCGTGCTGCATTTATTTATTTATCTATTTTGAGACAGCGTCTCACTCTGTTGCCCAGGCTGGAGTGCAATGACGCAATCTCTGCCTGCAAGTTCAAGTGATTCTCCTGCCTCAGCCTCTTGAGTAGCTGGGATTACAGGTGCCTGCCACCGTGCCCCAATAATTTTTGTATTTTTAGTAGAGACAGGGTTTCGTCATGTTGTCCAGGCTGGTCTTGAACTCCTGACCTCAGGCGATCCACCAGCCTTGGCCTCCCAAAGTGCTGGGATTCCAGGCGTGGGCCACGACGCCCGGCCTGCATGAATATTCAAATAGAACAAAGCTACATTCCTTTGGTAGGTATTAGACGAGGAAAATTTCTTAGTTCCTAGCAAATAGGATCTAAACAGAATATTATTGAGGTGAATAGGAAACTGCCATGGAATCTGTATCTATATGTGAAAAAAGGAAAAGTGTGAAAATAAAACTGACATTCTTTTTTGGAAACAAAGCTACAATTTACTGTCAAAAAGTTTCTGTTGCTGACCTGCTGACCACCCCACCCTCCCCCACCAAAACAAAAAGCCCAAGGAGTTATTTAAAAAGAATCCTTCAGAGTTATCAAGCAGGAGATTCGATTCCTTGAAGCGGGAGTCTAAAGAGATATTCCAAGTTATTTCCTCTCAATGTCTCTAGAGGGAGGGAAGAAAGAGTTTTTCCAATGGTTGCAACATTTTCAACAAAAATATATTCACTATTCAACAATGACACCACTGAGACACTCTATGTTTTAAGCTAAATTTATTTTTTTCAGATGAGCTTTAAGAAAAATCAAATTATATTATTTTCAATTATTTTTTATTAAATATTCTTCATTTTATGTTTTTTGCTTATTTTTAATCTAATTTTTAATTAGTCTTTAATAACTTAGTGTTTGATAAAATATAACGATTATAAATGTTGTTCTTGCTGTTTGTAACATGTTTATAATTTCTCTGATGTGTAAAGTATTAAATATTTGCTTTCACGAATTTCCTTTTTTTTTTTTTTTTTTGAGACAAGGTCTCATGCTGTCACCCAGGCTGGAGTGCGCTGGCACAGTATCAGCTTGTGGCAACCTCTGCCTCCCGGGCTCAAGCAGTCCTCCCCCCTCAGCCTCCGGAGTAGCTGGGACTGTAGCAGGCCTGCTCCACCACGCCCAGCTGATTTTCATATTTTTTCTAGAGATGGGGTTTCCCCATGTTGCCCAGGCTGGTTTCTAACTCCTGGGCTTAAGCGATCTGCCCACCTCAACCTCCCAGAGTGCTGTGATTACAGGCGTGAGCCACTGCACCCTGTCGTTTTCACTGATTGTTAAAATAAATTCCTGACACTCATAAAAATGTCAGTACCAGTGCTACTACTTTATTATAAATCTAAACAGAGCAGACAACATGACAGCCTTGCTGTTATGTTCCAGCGCTGTGATCGCCACCCTTGCCTGGCGCCGGCAGCTGACAGTGGATGGGGCGCCCTGTCTATCACAGGATGCTTCCTGTTGATCGAGGATTGAGGATCAAGGTGTTCGCAGCTCATTTCCTCTAATCTGGACTGGGCTGATCCAAATATGCCTGATCCCAGCTGAAGTTCTGTGGTTGCTCATCCAGGGAAAGAGGAGGACCCTGCATGGGACACGCGGTGTGCGTCCCTTTAACCGCCACAGTCGTCCTACCATATGGGTAATATTGGAACTCTTTCAGTTGAGGACCGTAGGGCTTAAAGATGTTAAATAATTTCCCCAGATCCTACAGCTAGTGAGTGTGGGAGCCAAGAGTTGAGCCCAGTCAGACATCAAAACCTTTCCAATCTGCCTCCCCTTCTGATGCCAGAAGCCACTGGAAACTGCACTTTGGCAGTAACCAACTCCAACCTCTCTAAGAGAGAGGGGTCGGGCGGCTTTGTGCTGTACTGGACCTGGAATAGAATTTCAGAACCAAGTTCAGGGTTGCAAAAAGTGATCCCAACAGTGGACCAGGGAGGGCACCATGCAGAGCTGCCCTGCCTTCTGTCGCATGCTCCTAGCTGGACAGAAAATGGAGAAGGGTGGCCTCTTTCTTGCTCTTGCCCCCAAGAGCACTTGACCCACTAGGAGGAGAGACGAGAAATTCCTTGATGGGAACTCCTATGGAGGCTTTCTCTAAGTTCAAATCCCTGTAAACACCAATAATTCTGTACAATTGTAATTGCAGATATTTCATTCATTAAATTAGATAATAAGTACTCCTGTCATTACTATCCTGTTATTGCTATCAATAATACTACTACTGGTTAACATTTTCAGAAACCTAACTTGACTCTCCTCCACTGCCGCTTCTTAGCTAATTATATAATCTGTGGAGAATCTGATGAAGCTTTGGAGGGAGGGAGAGGAGTGTTGATGATGATTGAAAATAAACTTTTACTGTTTTTGTGCACAGAACCCCAAGGTTCACATTTTAATTGATGCTGTACGTATTTGAAAGAATTATCTTTAAATTATTAATTTTTTTTTTTTGAAATGGAATCTCATTCTGTCACCAAGGCTGGAGGGCTATGGCATGATCTCGGCTCACCACAACATCTATCTTTTGGGTTCAAGTGATTCTCCTGCCTCAGCCTCCTGAGTAGCTGGGATTACAGGCATGCACCGCCATGCCCAGCTAATTTTGTATTTTTAGTAGAGACGGGGTTTCACCATGTTGGCCAGGCTGGTCTCGAACTCTTGACTTCATGATCCCCCTGCCTCGCCTTCTCAAAGTGCTGGAATTACAGGCATGAGTCACTGAGCCTGGCCAATTATCACTATTTTTAGTAAGGCTGAATATTCTAATTATAATCTAGGTACTTATTAATAGTATCAACTTGCATTAGGACATTTTGTATGCTGTCTCAAATTGATTTTTAAAGAAAATTCCTAGATTTTTAAATTCAGCACACACCCTACCAGATTATGCTGTTTGCCTTTGCTTTCGACTTCAAATAAAAGTTGCTCCATGCTAAATTGGATGGGTAAAACGTCCAAGTATTAATTGACTAGGCAGTCGTGACTGTAGCACCATGCTTTATGACGACCACTCAAGTTCACCAGCACAAGCGCTGAACATATTTTGAACTGGCTCAGCGTTTGTTCCTGAGTCAGGCACAAGTTGTGCGGTTACATTTATTCCTGGCTTTCACTCTCGTCTATAATCTTGGAAACCAAGATAAAGAGACCAAGATTTTACAGATAAAGTAAAAATCCTTTGGAAATAGATTAAAACAATTGTATGCACCCAAAGTATTGTAAAACACTTAGAGTCAGATCTCTCAAAGGTAAAGGCAAATCCAAGGTGTTGTCACATCTAGTATGTCACTCAAAGCCTGAAATAAATTATATCAGCCTTTCTCAACCCAAGGGTTGATTTCTGTTCAAAATAATTCGGAACCATACTAGGTTACAATAAAATGCAAATAGCCACTGGGCCTTCTACATTCTAAGTATTCTAGCTAAAGACTAAAAACGCAGAGTTGGCCAGGCCTGGTGGCTCATGCCTGTAATCCCAGCATTCTGGGAGGCTGAGGCTGGCAGATCACCTCCTGAGGTCAGGAGTTTGAGACCAGCCTGGCCAACATAGCTGGTCTACTTTAAAAAAAAAAAAAGCAAAAAAAGTAGCCAGGCGTGGTGGCATGCGCTCGTAATCCCAGCTACTTGGGAGGCTGAGGCTGGAGAATTGCTTGACCCTGGAAGGCGGAGGTTGCAGTGAGCCGAGATCGCACCACTGCACTCCAGCCTGAGCCACAGAGTAAGACTCTGCCTCAAAAATAAAACAAAATATGCAGAGTCCCACCAAGCCTTGCAGGCCACATTTTATCCACACTTCAGGGAATTCAACACTAAAAAGTCAGAAATACATTTGGTTTGCATGTGAGTTCCGTCCTCACTCGGCCTTTCCTCTGTACATATGCAGCCTGGGGTCTCCTTTTTCCCCGTGTGTCCTCAGCCCCTTTTCTTATAAAGACACAATCATATTCCATTAAGACCCACACTACATTTTAACTTAAAAGACCTTGTTTCCAAATACGGTTACATTCTGAGGGACTAGGGTCTAGACGTCAGCATAGGAATCTTCAGAGTATAATTCGGCCCCTAACGCAGTGTCTCTGTTTTCAGTTCTAACCTGTTTGTGCTCCACAGTGTATTGGTTTTAATGACAACTGCATAGTTTTGCACTATAGGGACACACCTGACTTTGAAAATGTAGTTTCAGAAACTAGATCTTAGATATGGAAATCCCCCTCAGCATCACTAGGATACAACGTGAGGGCTGTGCCACTTCTCCAAGCCTCGCCGTGCTCGTGTGGAACTTCATTCATAGTTCCATTGCCCTGCCTTCAACCGTGTCCTGGGAGCCTCCTCTTTCTCTCAACATGCACATGGGTTTGCCACATAGTAGGTATTACGGGTTGAATCATGTCCTACCAAAGTTCATATGCTGAAGAAGTCCTAATCCCAGGACGTCAGAATGTGACCTTATTTGGAAATAGGGTCATTGCTGATGTCATTGGTTAAAATGAGGTGATGCTGGAACAAGGTGGGCCCTAATCCAAGATGATGGTGTTCTTATTTAAAAAAAAAGAGGAGATTTGGACTGAGACACATGCAGGGAGAATGCCATGTGAACATGAAATCGGAAACGGGGGTAATGCGTCTGTAAGCCGAGGAAAGCCAAGATGGCCAGCCAGCCACCAGACACTGGGTGTGGTGGCTCATGCCTGTAACCCCAGTACTTTGGGAGGCCAAGACAGGTGGATCACTTGAGGTCAAGAGTTCGAGACCAGCCTGGCCAACATGGTGAAACCCTGTCTCTATTAAAAATACAAAGGTTAGCCGAGTATGGTGGTGGGCACCTGTAATCCCAGCTACTGGGGAGGCTAAAAGCAGAATTGTTCTAACCCTGGAAACAGAGGTTGCAGTGAGCTGAGATCACACCACTGCACTCCAGCCTGGGTGACAGAGCAAGACTCTGCCTCTAAATAAATAAAAAATAAGTGAAAAGGAGTACCGTTAACAGCTACACTCAGGCCGTAGACATCACTGGGACATATGGCTCCCCTTCCTACAAATATTTGCTGAATTTGATTCTCTTTAGTTTCTTGTTGTTTTTTGCTGTCTCTCCTCCTGATAAGAATGTGTAGGATCTGGGTGACAGGAATAAAGTCTGTTCCTTGCACTGCAGAATGTCCCATTCTACCTCCAACGAATCAAATATCTTCTTGAGTGCTACACAAATCGTCATTTGCTTAAAGCAATGCAGACCAGTGAGAAGGGTTCGGATCAGAATCAGCAAGCTTTATATGGATACACTCCAGCTTACCAGCGTAAGCCTACGTGGAGGTGGGTGCGCATGTTGAACTGACTCAGCATTCGTTCCGCAGTCAGGCACAAGCTGTGCAGTAACATTTGTTTCTAGCTTTCACTCTCGTCTATGATCTTGGAGACCATTCTCAAATATTTACAGCTACAGTTCTAACTTTTCACTTGGGAGTTCGTCTTGGGGATCCCCAGAGCAGTTCTGGGGAACTGAGACCAGGGATCAAATTTGCATCTGTGGCTGGTGCACCCACCCCATCCTGCAGGGCTAGGCTCTACCTGTCCTGTTGCTTAAAATTTGGGCATTGTTGCAGCTGTGGATCAGACAACAGAAAGCCCCAATTTTAATGTTGATTTTCCTGTTTGGTGTGAATACCCTGCCCATCTCTGCATTGCACTCGTGACCACATGAGCTGCATATAGCTGTGGTGGGTCAGAGGTCAAAGCCGTTCATGAAGATCAATAAACTTTCTGAGAAATTTCTAGAAAAATCTTTTGCAGTTATGGGATGAGTATAATTATGTCCGATGTTTTCTACCATTCAAGAACTGTGTATTCTCCCTCCCTTGGGAAATGGGGCCAAGATGATGTGGGTTCAGATTGTAGGAGGTGTCCAGGAGTAGGGGCAATATGTGGGGTGAGTGGCAATTACTAGAAAAAAAAAAAAACAAAAAAAACCCAAGGCAGTCCCAGGCCAGGGTCAGAATCAACCAGCGCAGACCTCCCCGACACATGAGTCTGGGCCAAGGTTGTGTGTGTGTGTGTGTGTGTGTGTGTGTGTGTGTGTGTGAATGCCCCAATGCACTGAAGAGAACAAGGAAGATAGAAATAGGATAAAAGTCTGGAGTGACCCCAAATGAGGCCACTTAAGTGCCTTGTTTGTTAAAGTAGCATCCATGGTTTCCGAGATGCATATGTAAGGTGCATATGAAGAAGCAGAGGCGGCAGTTTCCGGCTTGTTATTTTTTATATAGTCCCTTGATGAGGGGGATGATCACTTGAGCCTAGGAGTTAGGGAACAGCCTGGACTACATAGCGAGACTCCATCTCCACTGAAAATAAGAAAGTTAGCTGGGCATGGTGGCACACATGTCCCAACTACTCAGGAAGCTGAGGTGAGAGAATTGCCTGACCCCAGGAGTTTGAGGCTGCAGTGAGCCATGATCGCACCACTGCATTCCAGCCTGGGTGACAGAGGCCCCATTTCTGAAAAATAAAAATAATAATTAAAAAAATAAAGATAACACTGGCCGAGCACGGTGGCTCATGCCTGTAATCCCAGCACTTTGGGAGGCTGAAGTGGGTGGATCATCTGAGGTCAGGAGTTCGAGACTAGCCTGGCCAACGTGGTGAAACCCTGTTGCTACTAAAAAATACAAAACATTAGCCTGGCATGGTGGCAGGCACCTGTAATACCAGCTACTTGAGAGGCCGAGGCAGGAGAATTGCTTGAACCTGGGAGGCAGAGTTTGCAGTGAGCCGAGATGGCACCACTGCACTCCAAGCTGGGCAACGAGAACAGAACTCTATCTCAAAATAAATAAATAAATAAATAAACACACACTGCAGTGAAGTTCTATGAATGCCTTCCTTGATATGATTCAGCTCATGTGATATAGGGATGTAGCTCTTAGATAAAGAGTAGGCTAAGAATAGTTGGGACAAGTTGGGACAAAGGGGCATAGAAACTAGCTGAGCATCTCCCGTGCCTGGAGCGTGGCAGACCTGCCTAGAGAAATTTCTGGTGTGCTCCTTCCACCAGATGACCGTGACAGCCCCTGCAGTGGTGTGGAAATCAGCACATTCTCTTTCTTACTCCAAAGGAAAAGGCTGGAAATGATCTCACACCAAGACCTAATTGTTCTGCCAAGTCAATCACCCCCGAGGCTCCGAAGCATTGGCTCCTAGGTGCTGACTTTCGTGGAGCCTCTAATGAAGCCCAGCACGGCCCAGCATCATGTCCTCTGGGCCTGGTCATCTGCCTTTCTTGGAACCTGGACTGAGAGCTTATTTTGGATCCTCACCAATCAGGCCTTCGCTGTAGCCAGGAGGTATCAGTAGACAAGCCGGGTAATTGAACATATGCAAGTTGTTTATTTTGTCCATAAAGCAGTGACCACACTCGGAGGAGAAATTGCCTTGTTAAAAAAATAATTCTGTTCCTCATCACTCAATGCCTGGCTCTGCCAGCTGTGGGGACTTTCTTTCCAGCAATTAAAATAAACAATTCCACATGTGCACAGCCAACCTTGCAGAAAAAAGGTGTCAGGAAATAAAGATGTCACAGAATTTGAAATAAAATGTGTTTAAGAACAGCCTGGCTCTCTTGAATTGGAAAGTGGCTTTTCTTGGAACTGTAAGAGTCTTAGCAACTTTTGAATTGGAAGAGAATGCAGCATTCATGATGTGGTCCAGCCTCCGTGTTGGATGGCAAAGGAAACTGAGGCCTGGCTTTTCCAGGTTTTCCCAACTGGGCCGTGGAAGAGCCTAGACTATAAACCTGCTCTCGACTGTCAGACTGTGCCTTCCTGTCCCTCAGCGATGGTCAGTGGGAACCATAGGGGGGTCGAAGGAGGCTCCAGGAGACAGAGCTGGCTCTAGACCTGGCTCCAGATCTGGAATTAGAGGACCCAGTGGAGATCTACAGGGGAGGGGACAAATGAGAAAGGGAGCGGAGGCCCAGGGGCAGGAGTGAATAGCATATATTCCTGGAACCAGACAGGAGACTAGCCTGATAAGTTTTTTGGGAAAGTGAGGATTACAGTTGGATAGTAGAATAAATACATTAATTGGTCAGAGGCAATAATCACAGGAACCAGTTGCCAGGCTAGATAGTTAAAGCAGAAAGAATTTAGCAGTATGTTACTTGGAAAATATAAGGAGAAACAAATTAGTCTCTAGGTTAAGCTTCCAAGAACAACTCTTTTAAAAAAAAAAAAAAATTTTTTTTGAGATGGAGTTTCGCTCTTGTTGCCCAGGCTGGAGTGCAATGGTGTACAGCTAGTGCTCGACTTATGACCACAATTGGTTCCGACAGACCTGTCGTAACACGATTTGGTCGTAAGTTGAGTAGGCTTATGCACGCGGAGATGGTAGTGCTGCCAGAAGCTGGTCCGCACTGTCGTACGCCCAGCTGGGCAACGTTTGCGCTGCCAGACACGGAGCAGTCGTGGCTAGTGATTGTGGTCATAAAGTCGAATGGTCATAAGTTGCATAGGTCGTAAGTCGATCAATACCTGTAGTCGCAGCTCACCGAAACCTCTACCTCCTGGGTTCAAGTGATTCTCCTGTCTCAGCCTCCCAAGTAACTGGGACTACAGGCATGCACCAGCAGCCCGGATAACTTTTGTATTTTTAGTAGAGATGGGGTTTCATTATGTTGGCCAGGCTGGTCTTGAATTCCTGACCTCCAGCAATGTGCTTCTCCTTGGCCTCCCAAAGCGCTGGGATTACAGGCATGAGCCACCAGGCCTGGCCAACCAAGAATGACTCTTAACCACATCATAGAAGTGGTCACCAAGAAAGCAGAGGACTCTGTCTTGACCAGGCAGCTGCCACAATAAGACGCTCTCTCCAGACCAGGAAGCCACTGCTTCCAGACCAGACCCCCTGCCCTTGCCGCAACCCACGCCGGCATAATGGATGCTTCACCCCCAGCTCTATTCCACGTACCTCAGTTTTAAATCAAATCTCACCAAGTGCCTCTGACAGAATCTCCTCATGGCTGGGATTCTCGCTGCAGTAGAGTCAGAAAAATGTAATTTTTAGCTCTCAGTTAGAGAGGCTTATGAAAGGAATGCTGGAGGGTTTGGGATGGATGCTGAACAAACCGCTCCACACTTTTCACTGCACGCGGAGAGCCTGGGTTTGTGTGGTCCGAAGTAAGGAGCTGCTGATATTTCTTGGCCAGAAGAGAGTCATGAAGAAAGTGATTTTGAAAGGATTTCTCTAAAAATATTACACAGGCTAGACTTGTCACCAGGAATTCTCGATCAAAGAGGAATGTACAGGAGGTGATTGCATAATATAGGTAAGAGATAATGAAGGCTTGGAGCAGGCTGACGAGTAGAGAAGAAGAGGATAATAACAAATAGCACATGGAGAAGATGTGATGATTAATGACTTGGGAAAATGAACCATAAACCCCATGAGCAGAGACTGTGTCACTTGTCCTTTAACTGCAAGGATCTCTCCCCGTGCATCACATATGATACATGCCCAGTGAATGCCTAGCAAATGGATGAGAAGGATAAGTCAAAGATGGCGAGTGATCACCGAAAGGAAAGTTTTAAAATAACTATTTAACACAGAGAGAGTCAATAGACTTTGCTATTTTCCCCTCTTTGTGACCACCAGCCTGAGAAGTAAATAGAGCACTTTACAAAGAGTCAAGGGAGGGATGGCATCCTGAGGGACAGAGGGATGGAAAAAATGGGCGAAAGTGAAACATGGAGCAGACTCCCTAGCAGAAAGGAGGGTTCCAGGACTACGCCTGAACTGGAAGAACAACGTGAAGCCCCACGTGGGCATGTTGACACCTGCCATTCCCACACCTCCCCTGCAGCCAGGCAGAGTGATCCCGGGTTCCACACAGCAACACGGCAGCAGAGAGAGGTCTGCAGCTTCTCCAGCAGGCTGCACATGGCCACAATGGAGTTTTCTGCCTTTTCCTCCTATTCCCCCACCCCGTTTCCTCAAACTCCACAACACTGTAATCAGACAACAAAAGTGCAGATTTTTAAAAAATCAAAGGACTAGGCCGGGCACAGTGGCTCATGCCTGTAATCCCAGCACTTTGGGAGGCCGAGGTGGGCAGATCACGAGGTCAAGAGATTGAGACCATCCTGGCCAACATGGTGAAACCCCGTCTCTACTAAAAATACAAAAATTAGCCAGGCGTGGTGGCGTGCACTTGTGGTCCCAGCTACTTGGGAGGCTGAGACAGAAGAATCGCTTGAACACAGGAAGCAGAGGTTGCAGTGAGCTGAGACTGTGCCACTGCACTCCAGCTTGGAGACAGAGCAAGACCCAGTCTCAAAAAAAAAAAAAAAAAAAAAAAAAAATCAAAGGACTAGACATAGCTGAAAATCCAAGCACACTGACATAGAAGAAATGTTTCCGGTAATATCAGTGCACACAAATGAAGACAACAGAAATGTTAAAACAGAGAGGAGAGTGGATATGGTACAGAGGAGAAACCAACATAAGAACACTCATGTGTTCCTGAAGCAGAGGGTTGACAAGGGGTGGGGAAGGTTTACTCAAAGCTATCCACATGGGCTCTCCCAGGCAGGAATGAATCTGCAAATTAAAAGCACACCCCATGTTCTTGGAGATTTTGATACTCCAGGAGGTTCTGTGCCAAAAAATAGCCAGGCATCCAGAAAAACACAAGTCAACTGCAACAGACATCAACTACAACAGACACAAATTAGACCAGCCTGAGAATTCTTCACAGCAATCAAAGCCATAAAACAATGGAGCAATGTCGACAGAGTTCTGAAGGGAAATGTGAACTGAGGCTATCCTACCTTGTCAAAATGCCATCCAAATGGAAAGGCAACAGGCAGACATCTTCACACAACTCATGAAACTTCTTGAAAAAATGTTTACAATAAAACGTCAGGAGTTTGAGGCCAGTTGGGCCAACATGGCAAAACCCCATCTCTACTAAAATTACAAAAATTAGCTGGGCGTGGTGACACGTGCCTGTAATCCCAGCTACTCAGCAGGCTGAGACACAAGAATTGTTTGAACCCAGGCGGTGGAGGTTATAGGAGGCAAGATCACGCCACTGTCCTCCAGCCTGGGCGACAGAGCGAGACTCTGTCTCAAAAACAGAAAACAGAAAAAACAAGCAAAAAAGTTACCAACTTTAGGTGAATCGTGATTTAAAAGCAAACAAAAATGACAAGGAGTAGGGAAGCCTGGAAAAAAGACTGGCAAATAAGTGGAATCTGTTTAAATATTGAATTAAAACTGAACAATCAGGAGAACGCATAATTATAGAGCATGGTGCAAATGTTGGAAACCCGGAACGTTTTGAAATAAGCATGTAACCTACAAAATATGAAGGGGGTTAGGTGGAAGAAGTATTAACATCTTCATCTTTCATAGTGGGGAGTCAGTACTTTCTGAAATTGGTATGTAAAGCATAATACAAATAATAACACCAGCCTCTTCGCTTCTGTTTCCCCCATAATTACTCCTTTCTTAATCCTGGACAGATTTTAAGAAATAATCCTTTGGGTTGGGCACAATGGCTCATGCCTGTAATCCCAGCACTTTGGGAGTCTAAGACAGGCAGATCACAAGGTCATGAGTTCGAGACCAGCCTGGTCAACGTGGTGAAATTCCATCTCTACTAAAAAAAATTAAAATAGTCAGGCATCATGGCATACACCTATAATTCCGGCTACTCGGGAGGTTGAGGCAGGAGAATTGCTTGAAGCTGAGAGGCGTAGGTTGCAGTGAGCCGAGATGACACCACTGCACTCCAGCCTGGGCAACAGAGCAAGACTCATCTCAATTAAAAAAAAAAAAATGGAAATAATCCTCTGGTAGTGAAGACATTTATACATGGCAGTGAGTGAGTACTTCAGTTTCACTGTAGTTTCTTTTGTTAAATTTAACTAAAATTAAATACCTAAAATTTTTTAATGGCTTTAATTACATGATATCAAGTTTATAAATGTGATTTTGTTTATTAATCATTTCAATTATCTATATGAAAGAAAAATATTCGGTGAATTTTCATACTTAAGAGTGATGGGCCAAGTGCAGTGGCTCACGCCTATCATCCCAGCACCATGGGAGGCCAAGGTGGGAGACTCACTTGAGACCAGAAGTTGGAGACCAACCTGGGCAACATAGGGAGACCCTGTCTCCTTAAAAAAAAAAAAAAAAGAAAAGAAAAGACTGCAGGCTTTGGGGTACTGTGAAACATTTTCATCTCTTCATGTTTAAGACTGTTTAAATTCCTTATAGTAAGCATTTTTAAACAAAAATGTATAATTTCTTGCAATATAAAAGCTAAAGGGAAATATGGCAAGGTGACGACCAGCGTTCATTCCGCGTGATGTGAATGTGGATGATGTTTGTGCAACTGTCTTTGAAAAAAGCCCAAACCTCAAAGTCATTGGCAGGATTTCCAAGGTTCCTTAGTCATATTCTTTGCTTACTTTTCCAGCCTCCCCTTTCTTAATCTCTCCCCATCAAAATCATGCCTTCCATGCTCTAGCCATATGGAGCTGCTTGTAATTTTCTGGCCATTTCACCCTCCCCGACTCTGGGCCTTTGCCCTTCTGCCTGCCCCACCCTTTTGCCTCCTCCATCTGACTCTACACCATGCTCTTTTTCCTGGTTCATGCCTACTCTTTTTTTGTTGTTTTTGTTTTAGTTTTTATTGTGGAAAAATGCTTATAACAAAATTTACCATTTCAACCAGCGGTGCAGTTCCAAATGCTGGCAGGCTTGAGATCCAGAAAGAGCCAACATGTCAGTTCAAGTCCAAAGGCAGGAAAAAGCTGATGTCAGGCAGAAAGAATCCTCTCTTATCCTATGGAGAATCAGTCCTTTTGTTCTAGTCTAGCCTTCCACTGATGGGATGAGGCCCACCCACATGGGAAGGACAATCAGCTCTATTCAGTCCACCGATTCCAACACTAAGTGCATCCACAACATCCTCACCATAATGTTTGACCAAACATCTGGGCACCCTGCAGCACAGTCAAATCAAACATAAAATTAACCATCACACATAGCTTCTCGAGTCATCCACACGCCTTTTTCTGATCCAACATGAAGACAAGGCAGAAAATAACATTAAGAGGGTGTGAACCTCAAAAATTTGAGACAGGTCTTAGTTAATTTAGAATGTTTATTTTGCCAAGGTTGAGGATGAAAGCCTGTGACAGCCTCAGGACGTTCTG